ATGAAATGGGATCATGAGTGGATATAGAGAGGTTTGCCTTGGCAAGGAGGACCACCTCTTCATGTGAGATAATGGTGAAGGATGAGATCATGAAGGAAGACAAGTAAGTGATTTAAGATAAGTAGGAAAGGATAAGAGGGATCTCTCAATGAATGTCCTCAGTTTTTTTTTTCAGTGAAATATGAGGCAAAATTCTCAGTTGAAAGAGTCAGAGAGGAGGGGAAGCCAATGGAGGTTTGAAAAAGAATGAATAAGTTTGGAAAAGCTGCTGTAATGAGTGAGATAGAGAATACTTTAGTGTAAAAGGATTGTCTTGCTTCAGTGAGGATTCACTTGAGATTATGTAACATATATTTGTGGTAGGCCTAGGCAGGAGTTACACATTTTGAACAATTTGTTTAACTGAGGAGATGATGATAAGGGAAATAAATAACTAGACAGATAGATTGACAATTTAAGTTAATTAAAATATTTTTGGATAAGGCAGATTAATGGAGGTTAGATAAAAAAGAGAAGTCTGATAAAAAAAGGATAAAATCAAATTGGTAAAATAAAAAATTAACAAAGTGAAATCACAAAAGCATAGAAGAAATAAAAATAATTTTCAAAACCCACTATACACACAATTACATGCTAACAAGACTAAATTTTTTAAAAATACAAAATATGGATATAAAATAAAATAACCTACAAAAATATAGAGTACCTGAATTAACAGAACATGAAATAGAGATCTTAAAAAACCAGTCTAGGAAAAAGAGCTACCTACAAAGGAACTACATAAAGGAGAAAATGCCCTGGTCAAGATTGATTTATAGGTACATTCTATTAAATTTTTAGATAGCAATTATTACCTTGCTACACAGAAGCTATGGAGTAGAGAAGACTGGGGTTCATCTTCAGAGGAGAATACTGAAGTAAAAAAGCCTCTCCTACCCCAAAGAATAACACCAAATAGTCACTTGCCCCAAAAGAATTCATAGAAAAACTTTAAAAGCCAAATAAGAGAGATTGAGGCAAAATTTAAAAAGAGAATAAGAACAATCCAAGAAACAAAAAGATTATGAGAAGAAAGTCATCCAACCAGAGAAAGGGATCCAGAATCTTAAGAAAGAAAATGACTCCTCGAAAATTAGAATTGGGCAAGGGGAAACCAGCGAAGTTATAAGGGACCAAGAAATAACAAAACAAAATATAAAGAATGAAAAAATAGAAGAGAAAATGAAACATCTCATAAGAAAAACAACTGATCTGGAGAATAGATCAAGAAGAGAAAACATAAGAATAATCGGACTACCTGAAAGCCACAATCAAAAAAGAATCTTGATACAATAATATAGGAAATAATTAAAGAAAATTGTCCTGAAGTGTTAGAACAAGAGGGGAGTAGAAATAGAAAAATCCACTGATCATCGCCTGAAAGAGATCTTTGAGGAAAACCTACAGGAATATCATAGCTAAATCCCAAAACCTCCAGCTCAAGGAGAAAATATTATAAGCAACAAGGAAAAAAAAACAATTTAAATATGGCAGAGCCACAATTAGAATCACATAAGACTTAGCAGTGCCTACACTAAAAGACCACAGGTCTTGGAATACTATATATTGAAGAGCAAAAGAACTGAAATTCCAGCCTAAAATATCATGCCCTGCAGTTAAGCATAATCCTGAATTTTTAAAAAGTGAATTTTCAATGAATTGCCAGACTTTCAGTATTTTGTTTCAGAAAGACCTGAAATAAATTTAAAAAAATGTGACATACAAGATCCATGAGAAATATAAGGTAAACAACAGAGACTAATTATAAGGGACTCAACAAGGACAAGCTGTCTAATTTTTATATGAGGAAATGTAAATCGTATGTTTATGATTATTATTAGTAATTGAGTAGTTCAAAAGGAAGATTGGGGTAGAGCTAAGTATGATGTGATATTAAAAATTAAGTGTCTAGGAAAAGGTAAAAAGAGTAATTATCTTATACAAATGAGGGGTGAGAGGAAGAACTGACCCAGAGGAATTAGTTGGAGGAGGAGGGCTGGTAGTTCTGGGACCCTATTCTCTTTGGAAATGGATTAATATGTGTGTATATATATATATATATATATATATATATATATATATATATATACACACACACACACACACACACACACACACACACACACATATGTAGGCATAAAAGTCTTCTAAATTCAGAAATAAATAAAAGGCTAAGGATATGGGGAAGGGGGAGAGGATAAGAGACAGATTTTAGGGTTGGGGGAGAGGATAAGGGAGGGATCTTTGGTGAGGGGAGGTTAAGTAATAGGAGAGCAAGGTAGCCAGTAGAAGTAAAGTAAGAGGAGTCAGGAAGGATAGGAAATAGGAGATACACACAAACATAAAATAAAGGTCAGGAGTAGAATTTATTAGGGAAAAGGCAGAAGTAGTAATCATGATCTCAGACAAAATTAAAGCTAAAATTGATTCACTCAGAAGAGAAAAATAGGTAAATTAGTCTATATGTCAGCCATGTTAATATTGTTCTATATTATTTAAAATAACTAGACAGTATAAGGTTGGAATATTGCTGTGGTGTAGGAAATGATGAGTTGGTAGACTTAGAAAAGTAGTGAAAGACTTGGACCTATGAAGGAAGATGTTATCCACCCTCATAGAAACAGAGGACAAACAAGTATAGTACGATCTTACATAGATGCATAGGAATGTATATGTCTAAATGTGAGTATTATAGATATCTAAGCGTATGTATGTATGTGCGTATATAAGTATGTGTGTATATATACATATATATGTACACACACACACACACACACACACACGTACTACACAGGCATTCACCCTTCGTTGTAGCCTTCCAGGGGGAAAATGGGGGAAGGCAATAATAAAGTAAAAAATGCACAGCAGGGAACAAAAGAAAACTTACAAGGAAGCAAAGGAAAGATGGACAGGTCCAAGCACAATGCGTAGTATTTATTATATAGGCTTTTTTGAACTGGAAATGTATTGCTGTATATTTTAAATCCTCTCTTACATTCTGCTGTGCACATGGCAATGCTTTTTTCCCCTTTTCTTATTTTGTATTTAAATTTTAATATTTAAGTTTATAATATGTTTTCTTTTCTTATTGTGTATTTGTTTAAAATAAATTTTTTAAAAATCATTAGACATTTTTAAAATAACCTCTTAGTTTTGTTCATCAGTTCCCTAGTCTTTTTACTTTTGAGTTTCTCTTTCACCTGTAATTTTCAGTGTTTCTAGAAGTTGTTTTAATTTATAGATCACACCTAGAGCTGGAAGAAACCATCTAGTAAGCCCCCCCCTTTTTACAGATGAGGAAACTGAGGTTAAGTGACTTGCCTAAAGTCACATAAGTAGTAAGATAGCTTTTGAATTCAGGGGACATTGGTATGAAATTTAGAAAGCACGTGTGATGAAGGGATACCTCAAATCACCTAGAATTCCTTTTGCTAGAATTCTAAAGATGTTTACCTTAGTTTTTGTCCAGTTTTTCTTCCAAATTCTATAAAGCCTTGAATCTTTATCCTGTCTCTCTGTAACTTCTGCTGACACTGCTGTAGGCTGACCTAGGAACACTGCTAGAATACCAATGGGAAGAGGGGGAGCCTTCCATGTCTCTGGAGTTCACTGGGTCAACTTCTGATCAAGATGTGAAAGGAGAAATGGGAGAGGAGGAAGAAGAGGAAGAGACTAAGACAAAGGTCTAGGCTCCGCACGTCTCCTCTCCTTCCACAGTCACCCAGTAGATACAGTAGCTAGAATTCATTCCTTTGCCCTCAACTTGAATCTCTAATATTCCTAAGTAGCTGTCTGGTTTCATACAGGCTCTATAGGGAACCAAGTTTTCTCATTCAGTGTAGAACACTTCTAGTTCATCCACTGCCTTTTCCCACCTAGTTTAAAGTCTCTGATTTATTCACACCTCTGAGTTGATTGATTTGATTCATATGTCTTCTCACCTGAAAATGCATCAGAGCTCAGTGGGATGAGATGATTTTGACCTCACACTTATATTATGCATTTATTTCCTTAAGAGCTTTAATTTTTGTTCTTATTTAATCAATAATTTAATTATTTGATTGCTGTTCTGGACCCTTGTGATTTAGTTGAGGAGTGATAAAAGTAAGGGAGTGGGCAAGTGGGTTGGGGAATGGGTTTGTACTTGGGCAGCTGGAGTTTGGGAATCACTTGGATGGGAAGAGAGCATCAGAGTGTGAGAGTATGCTAAACTTTGAGAAATAAATCAGATAGAGTATCAGAGGTGGGGGAAGTTTATTGAGGGAGACCAATGATTAACTAGCTTTACTTTCAAATTTCTGTATTTACATAATGTACTTTATTCTGTCCCCAAGCCATTTTAACATCCTCTTAAGTTCTCCTCTTGATAGAGGTCAGAAATGAGTATCTAGTTTGATGGCTACTGAAGCCAGCAGAATACAATTTCCAACAACCATAACTTTTCAATAAGGAAATAGAATGTCTCCTTAGAGAATGGGCTCCTTGCAGTAAAAGAGTTCAAGTTAGAGGCTGGCCAAGCGCATGCCAGAGATGTTGTAAACTGGATGTGAGGCTTCCAACTTTTTGATTTTGTCGTTCAATATAGTGTATCATTCCATTAAAAAAAATCATTTTCAGATGATGATAAGAACTCCCCAAAGAAACTAGTACACTTGAGCATTTGATTTCTTGATAAAGGTGTCTGTGAAAATATTTAATTAAAAGTTTACTTCCCCCACCCTGAGGTCTGAAATAAATTATTAAAATAACTGCTTTTTCTTTAATTAATATGTTTGATGGCTGTAGTTGAAAGAGCCAAAACATTGCGCTGAAAAAAGAGTGAGAAAATTAAAATATAACAATACAATTGTCAATCCTTTCTGTTCTATAGCCTAAGCAAGTTTTTTCCCTTTTCAAATCTCTTTTGTTATCTACTCAAGATTCATTTTAAATTAATCTTTTATTTTGCTTTATTCCCAAAGGACATCCATTACTTTGCAATAGATAAGGGTGAATTGGCGCTAGCTGAAGTGGCAAAGAAACGAGCTAACGACATTGATGCAGAATCAATAACTACTGGAGTTGGTAAGAATTAATACTGTTAAAAAAGCCTTTTTTGTTTTAATCAATACTTGCTTTGTATTGTTATTATGCTTGGTTTCTAGGACACTTGGCTAATTTGAATTGGTTTCTTGGGGGGAAAAAAAAGAAAGCATCTTTATTTAGGTAAAGAATTAAGCTTCTATCACTAGCACAACCTTGATACAAAGGTTGGAATGGTGCTAATTAATAAGCAGTGATTGCTGCAGTAACCATAGAGAAAACAAAAAAAAATGGTTTTATTAATGGGACTTGGTAGAGATTACATATTAACATCAGTGGTGTTAATATCAACATATTTGGGAGCTTAGGTAGATATATTTCAAGTTTGAGTGATCTTCATTTCTAAGTGGATGGAAGTAAGATCCTTTTACTGCGCATGGCAGTATTCACACCTAGACAACTCCAGGCTTGTGCCTGGATTGGGTCCATAATTCCCTTTTCAAAGCACTTATTTTAAAACCACATGAGTGAAATTGAAGATTCTTTCTGCAGTTACTGTTTGGGCTTCCTGCTGCTTTGTCCAATTTACCTTCATTTTGGACCTTGCTCATTAGTCATCTCCAAGTCTCATCATGGTGTAGAGGTGAAGGTGACTCTACTTTCTCAGCAAGGGGGAGAAAGTTAGTCTCAGATCAACTAATTACCCTTATCTCAAGATATAACCAAAGGGGTTAAACTAAATGCAAAGATGGATATATATTAAGAACAGAAAATAAAGGGGGGCAGTAAGATGAGGTGTTAGTGTGTGACACCTGTATGTAAGTTATTAACACCCTGTTACCCCTTTACTAATTGTGACACTCTTCCTAAAAGAATTAGAAGCACAGCTTGCCATTGGCTAACAGAAGATTGGCCATGCCCTAGATTGCTTTTAAAAAGCTATCTTGCTAAATTCTGGAGTCAGTCATACTTGGAGCAGCTTTGTGGAAGGTAACTCTTGAGCCTATATCAGGCCCAACTACTCATGGAATCAAAACTACTTATTCAGTAGGAGACTGGTACTACATCTAGCAGGGAGGAGAGTTAAACACTCTCTAGACTCCCAGTGATACAAAGAGGGAGTCAAGTTGAACAGCTTGCGGCAGGAAGCAGCTCCCAGGAACAGGACCTCTGGCAGCAAAGAAGAGAGCCAACTCAAGAGAGCTATCCAGAGTTAAGCATGGAGACAAGTGGACCTTGAGAGCCCTGAGTCCACTTTCACAAGCCACCCAGAAAGGGTGATAGGCTCGGAGAAGAGCAGCATGAGGATATCACAAGGAGAATCAAGGTGTCTTTCCCATGTCTATGCTTCACTGTTTATTGTAATTTGTGCCAACTCTTCCCAGGGAATCTGTATGTGTGGAAAGTAGATCCCAGGTGTATGGGGGAGTGTTTCATAGCTACTATTCTTACTGTGACATCTTGGTAAATGCCATTGCTTGAAACCAATTGTATCTATTAAATGACTGTTAAGAGGAAGATCACTGGAAGGGGATCATGAGGTATAGTTTTAAGAGTACAGATCCACAGGGTATCCTAGGACCTTGGAGTATCAGCTACCTTTAGGGTACCCAACCTGTGATACAAATGCCAGTTGGGGGGTGTCCTAGAAGGAGTACTGCAGTCAGTGATTATGCCAGTAGAATGCATGTTATGACAAATTCTAGTAAGCTGGAAAAGTTTGGGGTATGGCCCTAGCAAAACACTGTATCTTCTCTGTAAGCACCAGCCTACCAAGTATGGAGAGGCTTATTAAAAGGAGACTGGCCCCTAGGTGTTGACTTTTTGGCCATGGTAACTCATTTTTTAAAAAGTAACTAAATGACCCTTAATCTTGTACCCACTTCTACTTCCATAATTATTACAGAGTGGAATGACAGAAAAGAATGGAAAGAATAAGTCTTTTAAACCACTCAAAAATAATAATTTACTTGATTGGCAATCTTTGTTCAACTTCTATTGCATTAACTTTTATTAAGCAACTATTGTGTGAAAGGCATTATGATAGGAGATGGAAATATAAAGACAAAAATAAAACAGTCCCTGCCCTCAAGGAGCTTACCTTCTCCAATGAACAACTTGCCACTCTAATAATGAGAGAACTGAAGCATGTCCAAATTAACATTCTCATTACAAAATAAAACCAGAAAACAAAAAAGTTCAGCTAAGTGGCTCATAGGTTCCTTTCCAAGACACCAATAAAGGAGTTGTTTTCATGATGCACCCAAAGGTAAAAACATCATTTCAGGAAATACCTGGTCATCTCACTTTGTAGTGCTCGTTATGAAATCACACAAACATACCAACATGAAGTGATTATGGTTTATGCACCAACATCTTTTATAGAAAATAAAATAGACAAATTCTTTGAAGAACCTTATTAGACCATCTAATCTAAACTGATGTTTATTTTGGCAAATCTATGTTGAAAAATAAGTTCAACATTAATCAAATAAAACAGACCATATTCTTATGAAATACTCAGAAGCCTTATATCTGTCTGTACATCAAGCATGTTTTTGAAGAAGAAAGTGAATGTGGCAAGCACTTAGTAACATCACTGAAAAAATGAAATTGACTCACCTTTAATTTTTTTTTGCTTTTTATTATTATTAAACAAGCAAACATGAACATTTCCGTTTACAAAAAAAGCTGAAAAATTTGTATGAAACCATTAATCTTGTTTATACACTTACATGATTTTTGATTAAAGTATTATGGTTTTTTTAACATTCATTTTTATATTTTGAATTTAAAATTTTCTCCCTCCTTTCAGCCCCTTACCCACCCATTGAGAAGGCAATTAATATAATACTCATTATATGTGTAAAGTCATACAAACCATATTACCATATTAACTATGTTTCAAAAAAAAGCAAGAAAAATAAAGAAAGTGAAAAATATGCTTCAATCTGCATCAAGAATGCTTTAGAACCATTGTGGATCATTGTATTGATCAGAGTAGCTGAGTGTTTCAGAGTTGATCATCGTTATGATATTATTGTTGTTATGTACAGTGTTATCTTGCTTGGAACTATGCCCAAAGGACTATAAAACTATGCATACCCTTTGATCCAGCAATACCACTTCTATGTCTGTATCCCAAAGAGATTATAAAAATGGGAAAAGGACTCATGTACAAAAATATTTATAGCAGCTCTTTTTGTGGTAGCAAAGAATTGGAAATTGAGGGATGCCCCTCAATTAGGGAATGGCCGAACAAGTTGTGGTATATTAATATAATGAAATACTATTATTCCATATTGTTTCCAATAAGAAATTATGAGCAGGCAGCTTTCAGAAAAACCTAGAAAGACTTACAGAAACTATTGCTGAGTAAAGTGAGCAGAACCAGAAGAACATTGTATATAGTAACAGCAACATTGTGCAATGACCAACTTTGATAGACTTAGCTCTTCTCAGCAATGCAATGATCTAAGACAGTTCCAAAAGACTCACAATGGAAAATGCTATCCACACCCAGAGAAAGAACTATGGAGTCTGAGTGCAGAGCAAAGCATGCTATTTTCTCTTTTTTTCTTTCTCATGGTTTTCCCCTTTGGTTGTAATTCTTCTTTACAACATGACTAATGTGGAAATATGTTTAATATGATTGTAGATGTATTGCCTATATCAGATTGCATGCCATCTTGGGGAGGGAGGGGGGGAAATTTAGAACTCAAAATCTTATAAAAGTGAATGTTGAAAACTAAAAATAATTCATTAATAAAAAAGACAATGTTCTCTTGCTTCTGCTCATTTCCCTTTACATCAATTCATAGAAGTCTTACCAGGTTTTTCTGAAACCATCCCTTTGTCATTTCTTACAGCACAATAGTATTCCATCACAATCATACCACAACATGTTCAGCTATTCCCCAAATGATGGACAATCCACCCAGTTTCCAATTTTTTGCCACCACAAAAAGAGGTGCTATATTTTTATAAGTACATATGAAATTTAACATGGTAGTTCCAACACTACCTTGTTTTTCTGTGTTGGACTTTTAGAACTCCCTTCTACTCTTTTTTTTGGGTATATTTTAACTATTTCATTGACATTTTTGTTTTTTTTTTTAAAACATCACTATCACTGCTTCCCAGTAACCCTCCATACATACATACATACATACATACATACAACCATACATACATACATCCATATACAGGCTTCCATTGAAACAAATAAATATAATTAGCAAATCAAACCTAGACATTGGCCACATGTGACAAAGTATGTTTCATTTAGCACCTCCTGTCCATCACCCCTCTGCCAAATTAGGGGATGCTTAATCGTCGATCTTCTAGAATCTTGACTGGTCACTGTATTGATCATCATTCTCAAATCTTTCAAAGTTATTTTCCTTTATAATGTGGTAGTAGACTATATTTTAATGGACAGGAAGTGACTAGTTATTGACATAGCAGTCACTTTAGAATCAGCTCTCTGTGTGTGATGGAATCAGTTGGTGAAGGCAAAAGCCAACATCAATTGACCTTCTCTTAGCAATCTCAGAGAAAGCATAAAGAGGAAAATACACCATGATTACAATAGCACTAGCTGGACCTTGTTACAGAAGCTGTCAACAGAAAAAAAAAAAGGGAAATGGACAAAAGTAAAGATATCATCTCTGACTCACCATTTCTTAGAAAGATTTAACATATGCAAAAGAATTGCCATAACTAGAATGAAATTACTTAAAAAGTTCCTTTGCCAGAAGACATTTTATGTCATTGCCAAGAGGAAAGACATTGTTGCCAAGTGAAACATGCTCGTTTACAAAACTATTGAAGAGGAAGATGGAAGATTATGATCATTACTGCCTCACAAAACTGTGAAAAGCAGTTGCAATGAAAGTAAGCCTGGTATGAAGGCCAACTAAGCCAGATCACCTAGGGAGCATTTGCTCATGAAACTTGAAAGAGAACAACAAGAAATACAAATGAAATGGAACAGATCAGCTGGCATTTTATATTCATCCATTTTCATTAGCAATGATACT